GTTAGGATTGGGAGGAGTATCAAAATGCATGAAACTAAGGTCCGGCGGTTCTGGTAGTGGGGAGGTGGTTGTGTCGTTCATGGTGGTTTTTCTTAGAGAGAGTATTTCTTAGTGATGAACTTTTTTTTTTCCTCAAAAGAGTTGGCATAGAAGTTGTCGTATTTATCTAAGCATAAAGGCCAAATGGATTTCAACAAAGTTCCACCGTAAAAATTGTACGGGGCGCCCTATTTGGTCGCCCCCATTTAACCTATATCCATTTTTTTAAGCTTTTAACTTGTACCCACTTTTTAAACAACTTCAGTCTTTTTTCTCCTCCTCCTTCTTCTCCTTCGTTTTCTTCAAAGATATCTTTTCCTTTGTAACTTCAGGCAAATGCAAAGCTAAAATTATGTAAAACGTCTTCTTGCCACACTACATCTCCGGCTCTCAGCACCTTCAAGTAAGATAAAAATGCTGCCCCAAGGCTAGAATTTTCACTAATGTAAACAATGAACTTTACTGAACTAAAAATATTTAAAAAGTTTTGCTCTAAATTTGCCACGGTTACATGCAAAAGAATTTCAAAATGCACTGAGTAGTGAAAAATTGATGACTGCAAATGACGATCAGCTGACAAATTCCCATGTGAACCAGGAAGGTAATTTCTGTGAGCAGTCCAAAATCCCCCAAAAGCTGATAGCTTCAAATGACCTGAATTAGGATAGCAGTTGATCAGGCAAGTCTCTTTAGTAGGAACAGATAATTGCATGTCTTAATCAAACGGAAAAACAAACAAAGGATTATTTTTATGGTGAAACTAACAAGGCATTACTAAAGACTTCCTTTATTCACTGATCTTAACGACAATATGAATATTTTTTATATAGTGAAAAACTTCAGCTCTAGAGCTGAAGTTCGCCAGTTACAAAAACAAAAACTTTAGCTCTAGAGCTGAAGTTCACCAGTTACAAAAATAAAAACTTCGCTAGTTACAAAACAAAAACTTCAATTCTAGAGCTTAAGTTTACCAGTTACAAAAATAAAAACTTCAGCTCTAGAGCTGAAGTTCGCCAGTTACAAACAAAAAGAGCTGAAGTTTGCCAGTTACAAAATAAAAACTTCAGCTCTAGAGCTGAAGTTCGCCAGTTACAAACAAAAAGAGCTGAAGTTTGCCAGTTACAAAATAAAAACTTCAGCTCTAGAGCTGAACTTCAGGCCCGGCTACTAGAATGCTGAAGTTTTGCGTGATTACCTTTGCTACTTCAGCCTCATATGCTGAAGTTATGTGAAAAAGTGGGTACGCTTATAATTTTTTTTGCAAAACGGACACAAGTTAAAACGTGACACAAAAAGTATAGATGCAAATGCCCTAGTTCCACCTATTCAAGTGGGGCCATATTTTCCTTTTTCTATGTTAAGGGGAAGTGAGAGTATTTTAAAAACCTTCAAATTGAGCGGGTGGAAGAAAAAATTAAGTAGGACCCACGTATATTTGGAGTTATGTTTGGAATGACCTAATTACCCTCTAACAGTGAGCTTCCTAATTATTTTTGACTTGGTTTTTTTGACAATTCACTTGAACCGAAAGCTCCTCTCGATTCCCTCCTTCAAAGAGGATTTTTGGATTGAGATCAAATTCCATTTTTATCTTCTTCTTTTTTTATTTTATCATAAAATTTTGTGTTATCCTTTAAATATCTTTATTATATTTAAATTATTAAATATAATTTAAATCTCTTTACTATTAAATTGTGATAAAAATTTTGTAAGTATTGTTTAAAAAATATGAGATTTATGATTTTGATTTTTGGAAACTTGTAGTTTACTTAATTCTGTATTTATGGGATATAATTTATCTATTGAAGATATTTTTTTTAATCTTCTTATTTTGATTGGTGTAATTCCCTTATTGAAGATGTTATCTTTCATGTGTGAATTTATTTTTAATATAATGAAAAAGATGTAATTCTCTAGTGAAAATGTTGATTTTACTTGTTAAGTTATGTTATTATAAAGGTGTGATTCCTTATTTAAAATACTAATACCTTGATAGTGTCTTTCTACGGCGACCAAATAGAGGTTACTGTAAGGAAGAATGCAGTCGACTGGATTTTACACACTATTCATACTCATATATAGGTGAAGACTACACAAGCTACTTATCGAGTGGCTCCCGTATTTCAATCCAAAAGACAAACAACCAGTTGCTCTTCTCCAGCTTAATTTGTGTAGACCGGCGTTGCCTTCTTTTTCAACTCCTACACAAAGATTTCATGCATTGTTGTATTATATATGGAGAATATGCGTATGGAAATATGGGTTTGAAAAGAATGGCGCTTGGGAAAAGCCAGAATATGCTACTAGCTTTGAGTCAGTGGGATGCTGAGAATTTAAGCTATGAACAAGTTGAATATGCTGCTATTGTGTCATTTGAGATTGGGAAAAATTAAAATTGTTTAATGAAATGGCCAACAGAGAGAGGGAACTGAATTCCCATTATCAGCCACACACGGGATGTTTCAAAATCTAATATATAGTTTATACATGTAATATGTATTGATTTGATAGTTACAGATAGTATCATAAATTCTGTGATTTTTTCTTTTTCCCTCACCAAAGTCTTTAGAATCAGTCTAAGAGAATTAACCCACACTCTCAAGGCATCACATAAGTTATAAGAAACTACTACTAATTAATATATGCATTGAATATCCAGGAAGCTGTGAGAAGAGAGAGAATATAGTAGTTGGTACGAGGAAGGAAAAATTAAAAATATATGCCAACAGAGTAGCTTTTATAAGGAATCCATTACATTAGTTTTGTTTGAAATACTCCTTGCTGCAGATGAAATAGCAGTGCCTATGCCGACATCTGCTCAAAGAAGAATAGTATTAGAGTCAAGATCGGTACTATCCCCTTCCCCTGCTGCGCTTCCTTACTCAACAATCAAAGAATCATTTTTGATTCTCCGATCCACTCTCAATATCATATTCATCTAGGAAAAAAAATGCATTTTCATTAGTCTTACAGAACAATAAAAGATATATTATTTTCAAATATCAAAATTGGGGCGGAGCCAATGAAGAAGTTACGGGTTTGAATCGCTTAGCCGTGTATATATGTTAAAAATCTAGCTAAATAAGTACAAAAATAGATTTTGAATACAGTAAATTAAACGCGATGTGGTAGAATTCCGAATTTGAAAGTATAAACTTCACCGCCTTTATATAAAAATATATATTTTTTTAATTATTGAGAAAATAGTGATGCATAAAATGAAATGGAGAAAGCAGTAGAAAAAGAAACAAAAATGACAGTTTTAAAAAGGAAACAAACATTATAGTGATCTAAAGTTATTGTTAAGGTAGTGGGGGAGTTGGTGATGTCACCGCTTGCGTGGTAGGGAAGAAGAGGGACTAATTTGAATGTGAGAAATATTATATTTTGCTACGTACATTACAATATTGTTTATTGGTAGGATTAATGTGTGAGAAATTAAAAGACATGTGGATCAAAGATATTCTTGAAAAAACAAACCTTCCAATTTGCATTATCGTGATAATCAAGTGGTTATTTGCAAAATGCAAGCGAAAATAGCTATAATGGGTAAGAAGATGTCCTAGGAGTTGAAAACAATTATGAGTTCGAGTAGAAATTAGGAGTGACTGTATTAGATTAAGTTTAAATTGCATTATAAAAGAATGCTCTCGTATTCGTTAAAATAAACTTTCTTCATGTTCGTAGATTGTTGGTTTTTATTTTAATTAGTGATTCAAATTTTGTGCTCCTAATCCTATATATAGTTGAAAAGGCACAATCATTTTCTGAAAAATATGTTTTTAATTATTTAAAGGATACATTTATTCTTTGTTAAAATTCGTTATCCAATCTTTAACTGATGTATCTATTCGTCTAAAAGTTTAGTTACTTGTTAAGTAGTTATTATTTCATGGTAGAAAATCACTACTTAGGAAATCATTATTTTTATTGGCTTTTAATCTCTTACTCTCTTTAAAAGTTCCTTTTCTTTATTTACTCTAAATCAAACCAAAGCAGTTGAGAGAATTCAAAGTATTGATTGAGAAACTCTAAATAGTGCAAATTAGAATCTACCTGAAGACAACGCCTTTTACAGCGTACATTAAACTAATTATTTACTCCCAAACATTATCTTATATGTCATTTAAAGGTGCATCCTCCTCTGGCGTGTTAGAACCTAGAAGTTCAAAAGATTATGTGTGTAATTATCGAATCAAAACTGCACCAAACCGAAAAGTCAAATTAAACCGATTAAAAAATGCGACTAGGTTTGGTTTTATTTAGTTTGGTATTGAATAAAAAAACCCGAATCAAACCGACATATAAATATATACTTTTAAGATTTTTATATAGAATTTTCTTTTAAAATAATGTCTAGAAATATTTGGGATTCTCAGGAAATAATATTTTCTAGAATATAAAATGATCCATATTTATTAACTTTAAATAGTGGGTTGTATGATCACTTTCTTATCAAGTGTTACTGAAATGCGTCAATATATTTGTTCTTCCATATTCATATGTCAAGATCTATTAAATTTTTTATATCTTTTTCGAACTTGAAGTGGTTATTATTATTTAGGTATCATATTGATTTTTATGTTTAATTACTAAATTCGGTTAATCTTGAAAGTGTACGTCGATGAAAAATTATTGTCAGATGACTAAAAAAATAACTATCATGTGTTACTAAGAAAATTCTCCCATAAGATTTTAATAGATAATGTGTTTTTCAATTTTTTAAATTTTTACTAAACATATATTTATGTATAAAAAATTTAACAAAGTAAGATTGAAATAATATTTAAGTAATAAAAAACTCGATAAAACTGAACCAATCCAACCGATATAGTTGGTTTGGTTTGATTTTGATAAAAACCGAACCAACCCGCTCCATATACAACCCCTACTGCCAACCCCGGAAAATGCAAAAATACTACTGAATTTTTGTGTAGCATTTAAATTTTTGAAGCTACTGCTAAGGGAAATATGTTGCAGCACCAGGATTGAAATAAAAGAACACTCTTGTTTAAGATAGAAAACCAAAACCAAACGAGTTAGAAGAACCATCTAACTTAACAAACAAACAAATATCAAACCGTTTAACTTTTACAGCACACATATTTCCAGATATAGGAGAAAACTAAACATCAGGCTGTAGACCAAGTCCCTTCCGCGTCTTTCCAACAAAGAGATCCCCAGATTTTATCATGCCTGGAACGCGTCCAGCGATTGACAAACAAGGAAATTGGGCCACTGCTTCTTTTCTCCCTAGAGAAACTATAGCCAATGCCTTAGTGGCTGGCTTATACACAGCCAATTTGTGATCATCTTCTACTCCTTTTATTGACAATGTGATGCTCTTGGCAGCTACTTTTGCATGTTCTTGAGCCAAATATCCTTGTTTAAGTTCCTGAATTTCACCATCACAAAGTAAGGACGTCTTGCAAATAACATGCATCTTATGGCGTAAGAGCTAATACGATCTATTGGAGCTTTGGCCTACTAGTTATCCAGTTGCATATGTGCATATTAGCCAAGTCTAGTTACTAGCATTGGCTTTTCTATACAAGGAGAGGAAGGAAAAGTAACAATGAACAAATAGCTGCAGCTATATTAGCAAGCAGTTAAAGTTACTACTGAAATGCATTGGAGATAGCAATACTTCCATCATGTTTCCTAAGCTGCGATTCAAGTACTTAAGTAGCATTAGCAGGTACCATAATAGATTTGACATCTTGTTAGCTCTATAAACACCGTATATCAAATATAGGTAAGTTGTGTTATGATGACAAATGTGGACATCCAGCACTCTTTTTTCTTTCTCTTTTTTTCTAAATAAAGGGAAAATGGAGATTCAGAATAGAATGAGCTTACTAGTAATTCATCATTTATTACTGCTACATTCTCAGAAAAAGTAAATCGTTGAAGTTCTAGTGCCAGGCCTTGGCTATGACTGTGAAGAAGGGGAATAGAGAACATAGGATGCATAGACAGAAGTTCTTGAATAGTTGATGAATTATACTTTTTCATATTTATCATGGGAAAGGGGTGCTAACATCTAAAGCTTTACTGGGATGAAACCAAGGTTTACAGACGTTAAAGAAGGTTTGATCGACTTACCGGAATATCAGTGATGTCCCCAATAGCAAAGATATTGGTGTGACCCTTGATCCTCAAATTTGAATCAACCATTAGCCTTCCACGACTGTCCAAACTATCCTTCAAGATAGTTTCTTTTAGCCATGCTGAACCAAATGGTGTTCCGATGCAAATAAAATGGCAATCAGCAACTATAGTTTCTCCACCCGATGTTTTGTAAACACCATCTGATGCAGAGTTTACATCAACAGATTGCCCCAAGATGACTTCAACTTTCTTTAAAGTAAGCCAATTCAGTGCCTTTTTGCTGGCGCTTTCTCCAACAAATTCTAACAATCTTGATCCCCTGTGCACCAGCGTCACCTTCTTGGCAGGAAAATCAACAGCAATTTCAGCAGCCAGCTCCACACCTGTTGGCCCTCCTCCAACTATTAATATGGAGTCAGCAGCCTTTATTTTTTCATACTCTGTAAACCAAGAAATAAGAGTTAAGCACAAGTTACATATACCATGAAACATGTGCAGTTTCAGCCGGGTCTACTGAACAATGGAAAGCTTGATTTGTATTACTCAATTCTTCCGTGATAATTCAGCCGTTTGTAGGTAAGTAGTCATCCTCCTTTCCGGAGCACTATCATTCTCTTTATTTTCTTTTCTTGATAAGGTAATACTTTAGTGTTGTGGATTTAAGTCAAGTATACAAGTCGTATACTTTACTTTAAAAAGAAAGTGGTACACTAAAAGTAATATAACATCCAGCCAGCCGTGCTAACACAACGGAGCTAAGAATTTCATTTAGCCTCTGTAGGCTGATAGGCTCCCAAACAGAAAAACAAAAATTGTGATTCACTTTTCTCTTTGTTCCTTTATTTCCCGTATACCTTAGCCCCCTTCTCAAAGTTCTCTACTATTATATGGTTTTTGAAGTTATGCAAATCTGCTAACAACTTGAAGATAAAATGCACATCTATAATATAGATAAAATGTCAAACTAAAATAAGGGAATTGTGCATGTTCAAAACTATGATATGGTAAGCAAGACAACTCGTTGGTGAAGTGATGGCAATGCATCACCAGTTGAGTCTTCAACAACCTATCATAAAACCCTCGAACTCCTTAAGGTTAGTATAAGAGCAGCACGGTGCACAAAGCACCCCGCATTCACGCAGGGTCCTAGGACAGGCTACAACCTAAGGAGGTGTGATGTAGGTAGCCTACCTTAATTCAAGCATCAGTGGCCGATTACACGGCTCGAACCTATCACCTATGGATCACGCGGAGACAACTTGACCGTTGCTCCAAGACCCTCTTCTCCTTAAGGTTAGTGTCTTAAGATAAAACTAGTTACACAGAAGCTTTTGAGTTCGATGAAAGAGAACACAAAAAGTAATCACGTTGGATGAGATTGAACCAATACCTGCTTGATATTGACTGATCTTCTCAGTTTTCGTCGAAGCACCCCTTTGTGTATGACCAGTGGCAACAACAAGATAGTCATACGGAACTCGGCTGCCTTGGCTGGTCAATACATCAGTTTCTGTGATGTCAACTGCAGCTGATGTAATGATTTTCGCATGAGGAAGGTATTCAGAGTGAGAAATCACTGATCTTTTAGCGAATGATGGTTCAACCATAGACCTTAAGCTTGCCCATGTGATCTCAAAAAACTCTTTCCTGTTCCATTTCATTCATTCAGTTTATTTAAACTAATCAACTAATAAGAAATAAACTTAATAAGTAGTCATGATAAAAGGCCAGAATTTTTGAAGGAATCAACCACTAAACCACTAAAGGGAAGCCCGGTGCACTAAGCTCCTGCTATGCGCGGGTCGGGGAAAGGCAGGACGGGTCTTGTGCGTAGCCTTACTGCAAGAGGGCTGTTTCCACGGCTCGTGACCTCCAGCAAGGAATCAACCACTAAACCACTAACAAAGCTAACACCTTTGCAAATTCACATTGATTTACAAGCTATGGAAAATCAATAAAGAATGATAGAAATACTTACTCATCAATTAATGAAACATTAGCCTCATTTTGAAGGGTTTTAGCAACAAGGGAACCACCAATTCCACCTCCAATCACTACCACATTTGTCCTTTCTCCCCCTTCAGCCATGTTCATATCCAAATTCCAAAGAAAAATCACAACTTTATTAAATAAAATCAAGAAATAGTAGACCCAATTGCCCTTAATACAAAACAAAGCTGTGCCCAAATTGTATTACTGAATAATTTGCAATTTAATTTTGTAGGGAGAACAGAACATCAAATATCCTCTTATATAAAAGAAAAATTGGGTGTGAAATAAAAGTGGGGAAACAAAAATTAAAGGTATCTAGAAGGTCAAGAAATGCAGAAAGTCTAAAACCCGAGTTGTAGAACAAGAAAATGAAGAGGAAGATTCCTGGCTTTCCTCTTATTACTTTGAAGAAGAATTAATGCCAAACAGAATTCTTTTTATTTTTTTAATGCTAGCTTGGAGGAAGGGAAAGGAAGAGGAAAAGGAGAAATTGTTGTCAATTCTCCATTCCTCTTTTATATTGTAGTAATATAAAACTGACAAGGTAGATGAAGAATTTAAAGAGTTCTTTGTTTCTCTCCTCTCTTTGCTTTGTTCCAGGACTAGATTCAGACAGACCAATATGAATACGAGTGCCGAACCATACTATTGTTAATTTTTACTAAATAGACTAAAATAAGTGTAAAAAAAAAAAAGTTAC